CTCTCACATAAAAACAATACATGCTATATAGTCAAAACTGTGAACATATGATCGTGACGAGTGTACCAACACAACAAAAAAAAATTTTGAAATTAGAGTGTACAGAGCGCGCGAAATTCAAAAAGTCACCTTACTTTTTGATCACACCTCGTATATATATATATAAATAGTCGTACTGGTACTCATAAAAAAATTATTAGAGTTCGGAGAGCATATATATGAACGGATATACAAACACCGTGTTCAAATTGAATACATTAAAATCGGATTCGTAATGTAATCATCTTCTATGGTAGGCCCGCCTGGGATCGGTCCGGGAATCGTATTCTCCTGCCACTCCTTGTTGCTCTCACTGTTTGTTGCCCCCAGGAATTCGGCTGGTTCCCGCATTACCTGGGTTCATTGCCCTTGGTGTTGTTCTGTTCGTTCGGCTCGTCAACCTTCCTTGGAATATCTCTGGTTTCGGGTTTATCTGAAACAATGTAAGCCGGCTTTAACCGGTCGATGGAGACGGTTACGTTTTTGCCATGCACTCGCACGACAAAACTTTTGTCTCCCCGCTCGAGAACTGCGTACGGCCCATTGTACGTTGGATGCAACGCCGTCCTTGATGCGTCATGCCGGACAAACACTGCCTCTGTCGTTACCAAATCCTTGTATATGAACGTCTTTCGCTTACAATGCCAGGCTGCTTCCAACGGCCGCAATTCCTCGAAATGGTTTCGCATCTTTTTCACAAACCCGTCTACATTATCTGGCTCATCTGTAGTTCTACGGAATAAGAACTGTCCTGGCAGGCGTAACGTCTCTCCATACACCAGTTCCGAGGTCGCCTGTAGATCGTCCTTCCAAGCAGCTCTTATTCCCAATAACACCGTGGGAAGTGTCTCTGTCCACCGGTCATTCTCGTGACATCTAATTGCTGCTTTCAACTGGCGATGGAAACGCTCTACCGTGCCATTCGACTGCGGATGGTATGCGGTTGTCCTTAGGTGCCACGTTCTTAAAAGTTTATTTAAAGGTTTAAACAAATGCGACTCAAATTAACGCCTCCGGTCTGTGGTAATTTTGAGATGCACCCTGAACCGGCAGATCCATCTCTCATACAAAGTTCACGCCACCGTTTCGGCCTCTTGGTCTCTCATTGCGAACGTCTCCGGCCACCGCGTAAACCGGTCTACGCACGTCAGGCAATATCGTTTGTCCTCTGATATCGGCATCACAATAATATCGATATGGATATGTTCGAATCGTCTTGACGGGCTGGCGATTTTTTCCAAAGGTGCCGACACATGTTGCGTTACCTTGGACTTTTGGCAAGGCACGCAAGCGCGTGTCCACGCGTTACAGTCTTTATTCATCAATGGCCACACGTAGCGTTGTGCTACGAGCTTACCCGTCGCTTTGATTCCCGGGTGGACCAAACTGTGTACTAAATCGAATGCTATTCGCCGGAAAGCTCCGTTAAAAATGGTTGCGGCGTTTCCGTTGCTACGTCACAATATAACTGTACCCCAGGAATAATCACTCGTTCCAACTTAAGGCTAGCTTCACGCTTCAAATAATTTTCGAGCTCCTTGTTATTCTTCTGTGACTCCGCCAGGGCTACGTAGTCCAGAGGTGATTTTAATTTTTCGATCCTCGACAATGCATCTGCCATTGTATTCTCGACGCCCGCAATGTATCGGATATCTATCGTAAATTGGCTGATATAGTCTAAATATCGAAACTGGCAAGGCGTGCTTCTCTCGGCCTTTCGTCGAAACGCGAAAGTGAGCGGTTTATGGTCTGTGTACACCGCGAATGTCCTCGCCTCCAACACGTGCTGGAAGTGCCTGATTGCGAGGTATATTGCTAAAAGCTCTCTGTCGAACGCGCTATATTTGCTTTCGGCTGGGCTTAGCTTCTTCGAGAAGAACGCTAAGGGTTCCCAGCCGTTGTCGCCTTCTGTTGTAACGCCGCCCCGACGCTATGTTCGGACGCGTCGGTAAACAGCGCAAGATCAGCGCCAAACCGCGGGTGCGCCAGAAGGGTATCTTCCGCCAGCTTTACTTTCGACGCCTCAAACGCTTGCTCGGCCTGTGACGTCCAGGATACCGGCGCTCGTCCTTTTCCTAATCCATGTAATAATTCATTAAGCGGCGCCAATGTCTCCGCGGCACGCGGCAAAAATCGTCTATAAAAATTGATCATTTCCCAAGTAATGTCTCAGATCTCTTGCTGTCTCTGGTCTCTTATATTCGCGAATTGCTCGCACTCGATCCGTAAGCGGTCGGGTTCCCTCGCCGGTTAATAGGTAACCCAAGAATTCTACTTCCGCTTGACCAAATATACATTTCGCGGGGTTAATAATTACCCCGTATTCCTTTAATTTTTCGAAAACTTGGCTCAGATGCTCCCGGTGCTCCTCTTCCGATGCCGACGCAATCAATATGTCGTCAATATACGCGTAACAGTACTCGAATTCGCGCAGAATCTCGTCGATAAAGCGCTGGAACGTCTGCACCGCATTTCTCAGACTGAACGACATGAATAAAAATTCGTACATGGTAATAGCCGTCTTCGGTATGTCTTCTTCCTTCACCGGGATCTGGTGGTACGCTCTCACGAGGTCCAGAGTCGTGAAAATTTTCTTTCCTTGTAGCGACTGCGCGAAATCTTCAATGTGCCGCACAGGATAACGATCTGGCACTGTCCGTGCATTCAACGCTCTGTAGTCCCCGCAAGGTCTCCATTCCTCGCCTCGCTTGGGCACCAGATGAAGCGGTGATGACCAGCATCACGATCCTTCGACGGACGCGCAATGCCGGCCTCGACCATCTTCCGGAACTCACGTTTCGCGGCCGCCAAGCGCTCCGGCGCGAGTCTTCGCGGCTTAAACGCCACCGGTGGTCCCGGCGTCGTTTCAATATGATGTCGCGTCACATGCCGTACCGCACTCGGCTGTCCTTCGGGTCGCGTAATTTCCGGATATTGCGCTAGTAATGTGTGATATGGCGTCGCGCCCGCAACCGTCTTTATACATGGTGCATCACAGCGCAAGCAACGCCCGGGAGAAGTTAAATTCGTCACCTAATCCACGAGACGCGAATTTCGTAAGTCCACTAGAAGACCGTAATGCGCCAAGAAATCGGCACCGATGATCGGTCTCTACACGTCTGCTATGACAAACCGCCATGTGAACGCGCGCCGTAACCCGAAGTTTAACGTCATTGTCTCCGTGCCGTATGTATTTATTATCGAGCCGTTAGCCGCCGAGAGCTCGTAGGTCGACCTCCGACGTGGCCCGCGAACCATCCTTCACACGTAGAGATCCGCGCCCGTGTCAATCAAGAAGTATGTCTTCGTCTGGCTGTCTATCACGAATAAGCGGTGTGTTAAATGGCCTGCACCGCTTGCCGCGTTTTCCTGCTGCTGCCATGAACAGGGCGGCATGCATTTGTGTGCATCCGGGCCGTATCGCCAGTGATACCAGCATAGCCCGTTCTCCGGGTGTCCCCGGCTATGCAAACGCGTACGCGAACGCGGACGCTGTCGCGTTCGACTTCGATCATGGCCCCGGTCCCGATGAGGCCGATCCTCTGTAATTATCTCGATCGATCTCCTCAGCGCCAACAATGCTCCGTCATTTCTTACTGTAATGCCAATCGCATTTACGCCAATTTGATTTCCATCTTCGCCTCCATCGAGGCCGCGTCATTCGTTCTGTGTGCATGTTCAAACTTTCTATTTTTCTATTTCTGAATATGAATCATTTCCGAGATAAGTCTGTGCACGCGCAGCCTCAGTCACTTGAAAAACGGCGCCTCCACGATTGCGTCCGCGGTATCCGTAAGCTGATCGATTGTATCCGCCGTCCACGTAACCAAATGCGGCTGGATATATGCCGACAGCCAACTTAGCCAGATCGTTCTCAATATCTGGTTTCCGACGACGTTGCCCACGAGGCTGCGGAAATGTAAGAATTGCGAAGGCTTCCTGTCCCTGATCTCTTCGTGCTCGAGCAACCGACGAGTTTTATGGTTCTGAAATAAGCTTAATCTTTTTATTAACTCTGCCTTTAACGCTTCATATGGTCGCTCCGCGGGCGGACTCATGATAATGTTGCGGACCTCCGCCGTATAACGCGGCCCGAGCGCGGTCAACGCGTATCCGAACTTTGTCATTTCGCTAGTTATACCGGCCGCTTGGAAACTGCGATCTACAATGTTAAACCAGAGTTCCGGATCGGCCGGAGTGAACTCTGGCATACGCATACCGACGCGGCTCACCTCGGATCCAGGCATAAAAAAGCCTGTCGTCAAGTCGACTCTGCTCTCCTGGTTTGCTCTCGCAGGCTGAAGCGGCACCTGAAGTTGCGCCTCCTGCTGTTCCGGCAAGGGCAGGCGGACCGCCTCATCTTCGTGCATCAACGGCATCACGTCTCGAGTGGCTTGCACTGTCTTCAGAATCGCGTTCAATTCATTGCACTCACGATTTCCGACGGTGTCTTCTCCGACCGACTTGTTTAAATATAAAATTCAGTCGTCACTTACCAGGTATGTAAATATGAAACCGGAATTTTTTAATAGAAAATACATGTTTATTGCATGAAAATGATAAAAAATATTTTATTCGAAGTATTGCCCATCGCTAGCCATACATTTTTCCCCCCTGTCTGACAATTTGTGGATGCCACGCCAAAAAAATTGTTGCTCTTTTGAGCCAAACCAGTCATCTAGCCATTTTCGTACATCTTCGTAAGAAGTGAAGCGCTGCTGAGCAAGTGCATGTCCTATCGATGTAAATAAGTAGTAATCGGACGGAGCCAAGTTTGGTGAGTAAGCCGCATGCGAAAGTGTTTCCCAACCAAACGCCTCAATCGTTTCCTTGACCAGTTTTGCTGTGTTTGATGGTGCATTATCATGAAGCAAAATCACTTTGTGTTGCCTTTTTTGATATTCCGGTTGTTTTTCTCGCAAAGCTTGATTCAAATTGATCATTTATTGTCGGTAGCGTTCAGTATTAACGGTTTCGCCAGGTTTTAGCAGCTCATAATAGATCACACATTTCTGATCCCACCAAACACAGAGCATTGTCTTCCGTCCATAGCGATTTGGCCTTGCAATCGATGTCGATGGTTCGCCTGGAGTTACCCATGATCTTTTACGCTTAGGATTCTCAAAATATGTCCACTTTTCATCGCCAGTCACAATTTGATGGAGAAATGACTTTCTTTTGTACCTGGCGAGCAGCATTTCGCAAGTGGTTTTTCGGATTTTCTGCTGTCTTTCATTCAATTCATGTGGAACCCATTTTCCCACCTTCTGGATCTTTCCTATGGATTTCAAACGTATGGAGACGACTTTTCGTGTCGCATTCAATTGATCCGCGAGTTGTTAAGTTTGAGCGTCATCCTCATCCAACAATGCTTGCAATTCGTTGTCTTCAAACTTTTTCGGTGGTTTTCTACGTTCTTCGTTTCTCACGTCAAAATCGCCACTTTTGAATTTTTTGAACCACTCAAAGTATTGTGATTTACCAAGAGCATGCTCACCATAAGCTTCGACAAGCATTCGATGCGATTCTGCAGCAGTTTTCTTCAAATGGTAACAGAAAATCAATACTGTCCGCAAATCGTAGTTTCGAGGCACAAAATTCGACATGTTCAACGCTATTACAAACTATACTGTTGTGTGAAATTTGTATTTTTGTGAGTTGAAAATCTTTGTCAGATGTCAGAACAAGGAAATGGCGTCAATAACGCGGTCTGACGGCAACTACATTGACAGCTATGGCCATCTATTGGTAAATTACGGTTTCATATTTACATACCTGGTAAAATGAAATTGTATTCGCGTCGTGGTCACCACTTTGGTAATATGTAACTTCTGGTGATTGATGAAGTAAAAGAATTAAATTAATGTACTGGTTAAGGTATTCCAGTGTTCACTTCAGTTACATGATTTTGCGTGTTCAAATAATGACTTTAAATGTGACGATAAATGCGGCACCGAATATTATATTAGGTGTACAACTTTGCTTCCGCCGTTTTTTCCGAAATTCGAGGCTTTATTGTAAAAAACTGGTTATACATGTATGATTCAAAGTATTGTCCATCGCTGGCCACTACTTTCTCTTATCTTTCGGGCAGTGTACGAATCCCGCGTCGAAAACACTAGTCATCTTTTGAGGCGATCCACGAATCGGTCCAATTTTTTACTTCTTCATAAGACCGGAAGTGCTGGTCAGCCAGACCGTGTGCCATTGATCGAAACAAGTGATAGTCAGAGGGAGCAACATCTGAGAATACGGCGAGAGGGGTAGGACTTCCCATTTCAACGTTTCCAAGTATGTCTTGACCACTTTCGCAACATGGGTTCGAGCATTGTCATGCTGCAAAATCACTTTATCGTGTCTCTCGTTGTATTGCGGCCGTTTGTCTTTCAATGCTCGGGTAAAACGCATCAATTGCGTTCGATACCGATCGCCTGTGATTGCTTCAGTCAGTTTGAACAGCTCATAATACACTACGCCGAGCTGGTCCCAAATACAGAGCACCTTGGAGCCGTGAATATTCGGTTTGGCCGTCGACGTGGAAGCATGTACGGGAACTCTCCATGATTTTCTGCGCTTGGGATTATTGTATTGAACCCATTTTTCGTCCCCAGTCACAATGCGATGCAGAAATCCCTTCCGTCTTTGCCTTTCAAGCAGCTGTTCACAAGTAAACAAATGCCGTTCAACATCTCTCGGCTTCAACTCGTACGGTACCCAATTTCCTTGCTTCTGAATCATTCCCATGGCATCTTTGAGGCATTTTGAAATGGCTTGTTGAGTCACTCCCAATGATCGTGTCAATTCTTCTTGATTTTGACACGAGTCTTGATCAAGTAATGCCTCCAATTCTGCATCTTCGAAAACCTTCTCTTTTCCACCACTATGCCGGTCTTCGACGTCAAAATCACCGTTCTAGAAGCGTTGAAACCACTCACGACACGTTCTTTCACTAACAGCGGCCTCACCATAAGTATTTGAGAGCATTCGATGAGCCTCAGCCGCAGATTTCTTCATATTGAAGCAGAAAATTAAAACCTCTCGCAAATGACGAGAATTTGGCTCGTAAACTGACATTTTCAATCGAGAATAACTTTATGATGCAGACACAAATCGACTAATGTTTCTGTGGGATTATGTTAATAGATGGCCAAGTTTCTTGTATGACGTCTATGATCTATTTATTTCGACCACCACTTATCGCTAAAGCCATCTATAGGAAAACGGCGGAAGCAAAGTTGTACACCTAATATTTCTCGGTCGTTATTTCGCGAGCGCGGATTTATGTACTGCAAACTATTCAGAGATCTTCAAATAAGGAAAGATAGGCACTGACTCAAGACACGAGTATAAAATTAACTGAGTTTTTAATAAAGTATCGGACTACACTCCAATACGCGTCCGAGCTCTCCGAAGTCTCTTTGTCGAATCTCGTATGCTAGCTCCGGAGTCTCGCTTGACTCCTCAACCTTTCTCGCATTTTCTTCTCGAAACTTCTATACTTTCTATTTGCTTCTATTGTCTATTCTGTTTACTCGACCGCCGTTTCGATTCTATTATTACCTTTATTTTTGTCGTTCAAAATTTTAACCGATAATAATTTTCCAACCGTTCGACTGTGTTTCTCTTTAATATCTATATTATTTAATCCCAAGTTTCTCGGCTCGTCTCGCGTAAACAGCAGCGGCATTTAAATGCCTCTGCTGTCTATGCTTCGCAGGTGTGTGTGTGCGCAGTCAATATTATCTCTAGATGCGTGCTTTCATTCTAAATGCCATGTTATAACACAACTTATAACGCAGGTTTACTGAGTATAAAATAAAGTGTATATTTGACGTGTTTATACAGTACGTGTACGCGCGCGCGCGTGTATGTGAACGCGTTCGTTCTGAATGAAGTCGGTGTATACTGTGTTTGTGTGTATGTGTGTGTGTGAGCGCAGTCTCGTGAGTTCGAAGTGACGGTGCGGCGCGGCACGCGATCAACGCATGAAATTCGATAGATGTAGGCCCGGGCGTCGCGACGCGCGGGACGCATCGCAGCGAGTCGAATCGCGTGTCTAGGCACGGCGCGGGACGCAAGTATCCACCAGCGTCGCGTGACGCGAACGCAATCGCAATTCGAGGCGCGGTGTTCACGGATATAGATCCCGCGGTCGATGCAAGGCGTTGGCTTCGACGGTTGAGAGCTCTCGACTGAGGCAAAGAAATCTCGACCCCCTATCAAATGCCGAAGCCGGTGCCGGTAGAAGGTGCAAGGATGCGCTAAGATGCCCCCGACTGCCGAGAGCACTCGGCAGAGGCAGAGAGATCTCGACCCCTGTTTTCTTGTCGGGAACGGAGGCACCGGATGCGAGCCGGGCCGGTGGCAGGGCAGAGTTTCCTATGCCCTGGAAGTTCCCGTCGGTCAGATTTCGCAGAGATTGTGTGATCGGCAGCTATCGGGAAAGCCCGATAGTGGCAAAGAGAACTCTACCGCTTTTTCGTGCTGCATCTCACCAGGAAGCGGAGCTGGTCGAAGTCGAAATCTGGAGTTCGGTCGGATAGCTAAAGCCAGGAAAAAAGGACGAGCTTGTCTAGTCCGCGTGTCTTTTTACATCAATTGTTGCTCCCGCTCGTATTGTTTCGGGATCGTTCGGTTTTACAATACGAGCGGGAGCCCTGATGTTCGGCGCGCTTCGGACGCGCTCGGGCTTCCTCGGCGGAGCTGCTGTACCTGTGGATTGTCTTTGGTTTATTTAAAAAGAATTGCGGGCGCACCGCGCCCTCATTGCTCGCAGTGACCCCCGACCGGCGGCATCCGCCTGGGTGGAAGACCGGGTACAATGCCCTTAATGGGGGGGCATTGTTACAATCTTATTTTATTCGTTTATTGGTCGTTTTATTTAATAATTTGTTTTGCTGTGTCACACAAACAATCGAGCTGTTATACATATTGTTATAAGCAATCATATTATTATATTTCCGAACGTTTTATTCTAAAATTTGATTTTATCTTGACTTGAAGTTTAAATTCTACTTTGTGAATTTGGATGTATTTCACACTCTTGTTATCTTGCGGTGAGTTTCTTTCTCTGAGTTAAAATAGTTTTATTTTTTAACTCTTATTATCTCATAGGCTTTTGCAAATTTTTCTGAATCATGATGGATCACTTGAATCATGATGAATTCAGAATAATACAGCTGAGCGCGAATTTATCTTGAACGTGAAAGTGTGTCAAATTTTGTTCAATATGTATTTCGCTGAAGATGGCTTCAAATGTGGCTGAAACAAAGTTTATAACAGCATGTCAAATGTAACGTTCTTAAAATTAACTCTTTGGATGTCTGCGCGCCAAACACCGCGCTGTGCTTTCACCAGCCTTTTGTTAATCTTTTATTTT